ATTTAAACCCCGTCCTCCTATCCTCAGTACGCCCGTCGTGCCTACAACTTTCAGCCCATACTTAACCACTCCAACCCTATTCTATGGAAGAGAGCAAAGGTCATTCCAACTTAAACTGATCCCTTTTGAGTGACTGGAAGAAAAGCTTCACACTATTAAGCAATACTTGGATCCTACCTTGACTCTCTTTCGAAAGATCTGCAACCCTAGGGTGAGCACTGCGACATCGAGTCCAGAATTACGCTCACAATAAAAAACCACTATAGGTCTTGAAAGAGATTGGCTTGTACGTTTCCTTCCTATTCCCTAATGAATTCGTTATATATTAGGTCTTTCTGCAAACCATCTAAGAAGTTCACGCAGGGAAGATGATGCTTACTGCCCAGCTGTGATCAAGTTCCCTTTTAACCCTTGCCTAATTATGCCTTTCAATCGAAACTTATCTTACCAGTGCAATTGTCCTCGTCACTGCTCAATCCACCATTGATGGCATCGGCACAGTCGTCTGCTCCATCACATACCCAACTCGAACTGATACATCGCCCATTACGGCATTGGAATGAACTGCCATCACATTCACTAGAACAGAGAAACATAGATTCCTACCTTCACCCACACAGTTCGTCAGAGTTTCTCAAGGCGAGATTGAACCTACTCGTGGGTGAGTGTCTCGACACAGCCGGCCTCATCACTTCCATCAGCACAGTCATGTATTCCGTCGCATTTCTTTTCCACATGAACACATTCACCAGAACGGCAGCTGAATTCGACACCAACTTTGCACGTCGTCACTGCAATAAATGTCGCTGAGAAACGGTTTAGGAGTACGCCATGCACCCAGGTTCCCCAGAAAAATGTTAAAATTTTTTACATACTGAATATTTTTCTAGAAGCAGCGTAGAATAACGTCAATTTACCAAGATCTTATTCAGCAATGCCCATCGAAATTGTACTGCAAGAACTTTGTTGACTGAGCCAGAACTTTGTTGACTGAGTCATCAATTTGAGGAGTACCCTTCTGCCTAGGTGGCCTACCAACAGAGCCTGCCAAATGAGAATAAAGACAACATGACTAATTCCAATTCTAGGGGTTGGCCACGCAGTCGACATCGAGCTAAAATAATTACTGGACTCCCTGGTGACCTAACACCGACAGCAGCTAGGTACTACAGCCATGTAGCCGGATAAATTATGACATCTCCACCCATTTTTCTCGAATATTTTTCGAAGCTAACCAATTAAGGTGTAGGTAACTAGTTATTAGCAAATACAGGTTACGCTGCTGGTCTCCTGGTTTGTATGCGCTCTTGGAGAACTCCTTTTTTTTACACAAGACTATGCGACAACTTACGAATATACTAAGCTCATAGGCGTTCTCCCCTGCCGCTCAAAAAGCCTACTTTGGTAGGAAAGTGGTTGTGCTGCTAGGTCAAAGGAGTAATATAACGCTTATGGCTCGTGCTGGGTTCCCGACGGAATGGTTGTTGAATTCATTCGGATAGAAATAAGGCGGTGAACAGATGCTCTCTGGTAAACAACAAAACCACTAGTACAATGAAGAAGAAACGGCTGTACGTTCTCACCACAATCCAGTTCATCACTCCCGTCAGCGCAATCCTTTTGCCCGTCACATACCCATGCTCGGGGCAGACAGGACAGAGTTCGGCCACATGTGAATTCCTCCGCAGAGCATGGGCGTAGACCGGGCAGTAGTGGTAGCACTATTTCTAGAAATACTCCTATCAGTAATATAGCCAAACTCAGTGGGGAGGCGGGACATTTCATGAAGGGCGTGACCTACCGCTGCAATCCTTCTCGTCCGAGTTGTCCCAGCAATCATTCGAGCCGTCGCAGCGCCACTGAGGTAGAATACATTGTGTCGTGCCAGCACAATTTACCAATCCAGGTATGTCAAAATCGGTCGTGTTGGTGCAATCTCGAGGTGCTAAATATGGTGCTATCGATTTTTCACTAACACTTATCGATTTTCCAGTACTAAAAACTTACGGCAATTCTTTTCATCACTTGCGTCGTTACAATCCGGTTTCATATCGCAGGTGAAGTTCTTCGGTATGCATACTCCGGAATCACACCTGCAGAAAGAAAAATCAAAAAAATCACTTTCTACCAAGTGAGCAGCTACTCAAGAAAGATGTGAATAAAATTTCATACCTTACGTTTGCATTCACCCTCATGAATATTTCCTGTGTTTTTACCCACTACAAATAAAAGTTTTGACAGCAACATCATCACAGAAAGGCAGCGAATATGCATGTCTTAGCGGCCCACTACGATGCCTCGCTGCACTATCGCAGCGACGATGGAATGGTAGTTGCCCAAACCCCTGAGTTGCCAAAAAAACTGGTGAATGATGTGTTGATTAGAGTGTAGATAAAATCGAGTTTTTCTACACTAGGGCTTCTACACCCTCCCATATCTTCCTTGAAACTGCCAAGGTGGTTGGAGCAAACCACAGAAAGCGAAGGTTAGTCCCACAGTTGTGGGCTGTCTGGGAATCGCCCATTGCTCCGAAATATTAAGCAGCGGAAAATTCGGAGGATACAGCAACGGTGTCGTACTTCCTCAGGTGGTTTCAAATTTCATTTCTCAATTTCTTATTCGAGAGTAACCCCATAGTAGCTTACTTGAACTCCTCCATACTGCAATCGCAATCCACCTCATCAGCAAAATTCAGGCAATCATTGTTTCGATCACATTTCTTCGACAACGCCACACATAGACCGCTGCCACAGTTGAAGTAGCCTGGCCGGCACGTCCGCTTACCTGAAAAAAAAAAAGGAATCGTCAAGAACAAACGTTCCGACTGCGACTAAGAATTTGACGTTTCTGAGACTTTGTAGAAGAGCGTGTTCAGGAAAAAACTTCCATGAAAAAGTCTTGTCTAAATGGGACACGGGCGAATTTTGTATCGAGTGTTCGGTAGTATAAGATAACAAGATGATCAGTGCGAGATTTGCCTGTGTCCGAAAGATTATTTGTCTTCTACTTGAGAATCACCCTTTTGGATGGTAGGGCCGATAAGCATCCCGACGAACTGGTGCAGCACAGTACAACTAGGCTTGAATCACATATCTTAGCAGAAATATCGGCGCATAGCCAAAATCCACTTCCAAGTCCGTCTCGGTCCTTTTCTTGACCTATTTGTCATTTCGCCTCCTAGTCATTCTCCAGGATTGCTAGGTAAACTTGGTCACTTATCCAAACATAAACAAGTAAAGAGAGTAACATGAATCCTACTCCGTTCAAAAAGTTTATAGCTGAGGCGTACAGACTTAAAAAAACCTTACGCGACCTTCGCGCCGCATCCGCTCGCCTCCCAGACTTACATAATCTTCACAAGAATGTACCCTTCAACGAGGATGAGTATGAATGCGATAACTTGCAAATTGGAGGGTAATCCCGAATTGAAGAATGGTTTCTCCATGCAAAATGATTTTCAATCTCAACCCAAAAGCCCACATTCAAGTCCTCCGTGTCGTTCATACTCACCCATTTGCCCTGAACTGTTTTTAAAGGGTTCAACACCACTCACTGCACATATCCTCATCTTCATCCTCAGCATGAACACAATCTGGATATCTATCGCAGGTCTCCTCGTACGGAATGCATCGATCACCAAGTTTACAAAGAAATTCGTTCTCGGCACATGTTTTTGTCGCATACTCTGAACAGTAACAATGCGAATCAATCGATACACATAAAACCCACGCAATACCCACCACTTCCGCTGCAAGTCACATTGTCCGCATTCAGCTTCCGCTCACCACGACATGCACAGTGAGGCTGCCCCCGCGCATCCAGGCGGCATTCATCACCACAAACAAGCGACGCGCACGCATCCGCGCCACCTAAACAAGGCAATAAGTATGAACGCTCAAATTTGCAGCTAGTAAAAAGCTCTAAAAAATGGAGACACACATTTCTGAGCATTCTTCATTGACACAGTTATACTCTGCACTGGTGTGGACGTTTCGACGACCAGCCGCTCGCCGAGGCCGTCAATTTTGTCCGCGATGACAAGCTCTCTGAACATTGTCAAAGTACATTCTAATCAATAGATTGGATCGATAAATTATCTCATGACACGCACAGTTTTGGTACGTAAGATCCGATATTACTATAGACGAGTTGGTCATCAACAATAGCTAATGCATATGGACGGCGTAGAAGTGTTGTTCTATTCTCCGTACCAGGGATGACAATCTGAAAAATTTTTACGAGTGAAAAATTGTGCCACTATGTCGACTGGATGCGGAGAAGTATAAACACTCTTTCAGCGACCGTACCTCTTTATTTCGTCCATCAAAATCAACCCGGTAGATTTTAGCTGAGGTGATTTCAGCAAAATAGAGTTTTTCAGCCGAGAAATCGATGGACAACCGAGTGTCACCAATCACTTCCTCCTCCACTATACG